CACAAGCACGGCAGGCATTATACGCTGACCGTGATCGAGTTGTAGACAACCTGAAGGAAGGAGATGAAGTCCTGGTCTTCAGAGATTTCCTGTTAACTCCCGGAGAAAGAGATAGACCATCTGACAAGTTGCGGCTCAAGTGGTATGGTCCCTTCAAGATTCAGAAGGTGGCTCCCAATGCGTACAGGCTTGTCTTATTGTGAACCGTACGTGTAACAGGGCGTCACACCTCATCCTTACACGCTTAGTCATACTCATTCCTCTGACTCATACTATCTCACCTTGTGTTCGTCTCACCTGCATCCTGTATCATGGCTATGTTCCTAATAGACTGCATCTTACCTTCCACAACGTCTCACCGGTTACACTGACGGTCCCAAGTGATGTTTGTCCTGGCCTATTTCTGGTAGCCGAATGAACACATTCTTTCCTCCTGGGGCTCTGTCCCCCTGTCGTTGCTCCTCTTTTTCTTCTGCATTCCGGTTCACATCTGGCTGCGGCCTACTACCTCTCACTTTGTGTGCTCCTGCCTTCGTTGTCTGTGTCTATGTCGGTATATTAGTGTAGGTGGAGAGAGAGAATGCTGTCTCAATTTCTTGAGTACAGGTCGTGGTTTTTCGAACCACACTTCATGCTTTATTCTATTGCCATCATGCAATGATGCCTATTTGGTTTGCGGTGTAAACATCAAGAAATCACTTGACATGTCCGGTAACTGTAAATAATAATAATTATGGTGTCCGATGTAGTTCAAGAGGCTTTGGCTGAGCCCTGGGAAGAAGCAGTTAGATCCGTAGGGCAAGGGAGGCTGTAGTAGGTGTATCGTGGCTGTTAGCTGAGTAAGCTGCCATTGCGCCAGAGTCGCCCATGCAGCTGTTTGGGCTGTCCAGCGTGCAAGGTGGCCAACATGAGCAGTCCAAAACAGATCCGGGTCCGCAAGGACTCAGGGAGTTATTTCGCTGACGTGGCTGTAAGCTGAGTAAGCTGCCATTGCGCCAGAGTCGACCACGCAGTTGTTTGGGCTGTCCTGCATGCAAGGTGGTCAACATGAGCAGTCCAAAACAGATCCGAGTGCGCAATGACTCAGGGAGTTATTTCGCTGACGTGGCTGTAAGCTGAGTAAGCTGCCATTGCGCCAGAGTCGACCACGCAGTTGTTTGGGCTGTCCTGCATGCAAGGTGGTCAACATGAGCAGTCCAAAACAGATCCGAATGCGCAATGACTCAGGGAGTTATTTCGCTGACGTAGCAACTACTGGTACAATCGTCTCCACGTTATGTACGGCAGGGCTGAGGTCGATGGCGTATCGCGGTTGATGAGCATGAGTTGGTTCTTGTTCGAGGTGAGAAGGCAGCCAATTTCCTTCAGCCAGGATGCCAGATTGGTAATGGCAGTGGTTAGATCCCCTCCTCGCAAACAAACTTGGGATCCAGATGGTGGCAGCCTATCACAATGTCACTAGCAAAGTCCCGGTTGAAAACGGTAGCTCGAAAGATTGAGGCGATCTTGTTGGTGTACAATACGGATAAGAGAGAACCGACAACACCCCCCCCCCCCCCCACGGGATTCCACGGCAGTAGCAGGCTACATCAGAAAGATGTACCTACCCTACACCTGGACATGCTGCATGGGGTCTGACAAGTAGCTACAAAACCACTAGATGCAATCAAATACTTTTGACATGTCGACGAATACGATACCTATGTACAGTAAACTTGGCTAATAACGACTGCGGATATAACGACAGTTCGCGAATAACGAAAATATCTCCATGCCCAGAGCAAAGTCCATTCTACCTGTATACATATAATGAGACTTCGGGTATAACGACACTTCGCGAATAAGGAGACTTTTCTGATGCCCGGCCGATTGTCGTTATACGCAAAGTTGACTGTATTTGCATTTCGACTTGGCTAGGGACCAGCGGTTAAATTACGTTGGGCAAATCGACTCACTGGAAGGAGAGACTGTGACTGACTGCGATATGCGACTTTCTATTTCTTGACCACTACTTCAAGAATGCAGGATGTACTGTAAAAGCCATATATATAACGAAGTGCTAACTCTAACGAGTTAACGAGGAGAAATCTGTCGTTAAAATAGAAATCGTTATACAGAAATCGATGCATACACTGTCCTATTCAGCGTTGAGAATGAGTGAGAATCGTTACCTTTGGTACACGTAAACTAGTCAATTTTGGGAAATCGTTATATACGTCAGGCGAAATAGCACGTCATAGTACATTCGAGATCAGCGGGAAGAAGATGACGACGTCCACTAATTTAGTATCTGTGAACACGAATCTGCTGTGTGTGTTACTCTGTGTGTCAGCTATTGCATCATCGCCTGTGGTTCCATGCCTAGCATGTACGTCTGAACCATCCTGCAAAGTTTGAATGACGTAGGTTGAGCGATCGCTCCGCGAAACATACTTTTTGAAATTCTCTTCATAGTATATCTTCCACCATTGAAATTTCGAATTTCTTCAAAAAAAGTGCTGAGAGGGGTGGCTTGCAACCTCGATATGGCTTGTTCCAGGCATGCTTTGGAGCCATCGCCTGTTGAAGTAGTGGCGGGGATCTGCCCTGCAACTGCTACAACAAAAAATGATTCGATCTGAGAAAGGGTGAGACCGCGAATCTCGGTTGAATATTGAGTATTTCAAGCCTTTTCACGACGAAGATGGAGTTCTTTTTGGAGATGGACATCGCGGCAAAGGACATGGTGTCCGACTTCTGGCGTCTGGTGAAGCCAGGAATCATTTGTCCAGTCAGGTCGGCAGCCTAACCGTCGGTAAGCTTGTGTTGGATCCCGTTCTGCTCGATGTGGTAGATCACAAACAATTTGATATCGCACAAATTGATCTCAGCATCGTGCGTACGGTATTGTCACGTCCCAGAAACGTGACTACTGCTGCCTGATAGTCCTGTGACAGCAGGATCTACCTAGTGAGTAGCTCTGTGCTGAGCTGTCACGCCCTTTTGGTACAATGTGGTTTGGCCAGTGTCTTGTCCCACGTGCTTAGCATGTAGGTTGAGCGACACGCGCTTTCCCACGTAGGTGACATGCCTTCTTGGCATGACACGTCATGTGATCCAAGGCCGGAACCTGGTCAGGTAGGTTCTCGCGTTGTACGTTTCCTGGAAGTTCTTCACTTCCTGGAAATGTGACCCCAGGCTTTGTGCAAAACCACGTCACTACGACGTTCTACAGGTTTCCACGATGCCTCGGTGCTTCGTGCAAAGAGCCAAGACTAATATGACAGTGTATATCAAGAGCTAAGTGCAAGGCAGGAGACGTGTGCAAGAACCAAAACCGTCACCGCGCAAGAGGTCAGAGTATCACACAAGCAAGACCAAGAATGCAGCAGAACTTACCATAAGAAGCCGCTGAACTATGGCACGTTGGGTGAGCGGGCTCCCCAACGTGACCCTCATATACTCACATTGTACTCTGACGTGGGTGAGCGGGCTCCCCACGTCCCAATTTGGTCTTTATTCTCTCGATGTCTTTCTTTCTCTTTCTTCTCGAATGATCACCGTACGTATATTCTGCATTTCTGCTGACTGGCTGCGCACAGTCCGGTTTGACTTGTTCTGCTATTTCCTGGAATTACCTCGCCATGATCACGCCATTATATCTCTGAAGCACCCTATAAAAGAAGCTCTCATTCTCTCTTTTACTTCAGTTCTAGTTCTAGTCTAGTCTAGTCTAGTCTAGTCTAGCAGTCGAGACTCGGTCTCAGCTCTCTGTCTTCGTTTACTTTGAGCTCGGATTTGATACAACTCACAACGTAAAACTAACAGTCTCTGTCTGTTGATCGTGTGGGGTTGAACTTGGACCAAGCCAGCTATATTGGTTGGCCCCTGGGTTGTGTTGGGCTTGTCGTGAGGCCACACGTCTATATTCAGTCGCCGCTCGTAGTGATTTCGGGGTCCGGTCACTCTGAGCCAGGGACGCGACAGTATTTTATATTCAGAAAATCCCAAAGTGTCTCTGTGTGGCCGTCCTATGCCACGAGAAACTCCAATCAGGCTCCTATGTCCTCTGCCTTCATGATTGAATGTCTACTTCGTTTGAACAACGAACATAACAATCGAGGACGGCTTTGCAATGAAAAATACAGCTATACTGGAGCTGAAAAGAAGAAGAAAAAAACGTGCTTAGGATGAGACTCGAGTACACGCATACTCTCCCAGCAGGTGAAACGCATTTTTTTGTGAAAAATGCGTGTCGCCGACTGACCAGTAATTTCGCCTGACGTGCGCCTCGTTAGAATAACGGCTTTTACAGTAATGGGATGAAGTAAAGCAGGGCGCTAATTCTTTGGTAAGGATGGATCACCATTTTCGAATCGCTGCCTTTCGCGCAAAAGTTTAAAACTGCTTGAACTTCTCCCGTAGCAAGTGAGGTAACAGTATGCAGCTGTAGTACTTGATTATTTTTGTAAAGTTAGGAGCAAGGATCTGCGCTAATCAGTAAAGCAGGACTCCATGAATGTCATCACTGCCTGTGGCCTTATGCGGATCAACAGCTTTGAGGCAATTGGCGACGCTATGAACACATACAGGCTGCAAGTCTCAAGCTTTCCATTTGTACTGGACCAACAAGTGGGCAGAGAGACGTTGGACGCAGCGGATCACGAACCACCTCTCCAAACCCATAGGCAGAGTATTTTCAGGATTACAATGACTAGGAGTCTTGTTTGATTACGAATCAGGCAGCGATGTAAAGAAATTATGCATAGAGCTGCTTAAATAAAAAAAATTTCACGGTTCGCGTGAGACTCGGCTGAAAGCCGAGTTTTCCGCATCCGCCGTGGGAACGCCACCACCCTCTAGGATCAGAGGCGCAGATGCAGCGCCTAAACGGTGGGAGGTGAGTAGATCAGACCCACCACCAAGTGAGCTGCTTAGGGTGAATAATATTCGAGGAGGCACGCCCAGATGAAGGACAAACTTGCCAAGAGAGTCAGACTATTTCAGATCATAGAGATGGATGAAGGATGTAATAATATTGAATGGGACTCCCTGAGAAACCAAGAAGCCTTCAAATGACTTCCATAGGTGGGCTTTTCAACTGTTGTTATTCCAGTCAAGAAAGACTTCCACAGATCTGTAAAGTCATATGATGAAGAGAGAAGGTGGTTTGTGGAGAAATCACAGAAATTCCTGATTGTATGAAGTGTAGGCACTTTAATGTAGTGTTCAACCAAAGTTGCATGTAACTGAAGCACAATGCACTCACTGAGATATTCTGCTGGTCCTAAATGCCTCTGGTGGTATGACAACCAATACCAAACACTGCTGTGCCAACAGCTAGAGGTCTTCACGAGTTAAAGGTCTGACAGCAGGTTCATCTCTGCGTCGACGAGACAGCCTGGGCAAATCAAGGTCACTCTGAAAGAAAGAAAGAAAAGCACAGCAAAGAGCCAAGCTCCAAATGCATCTGCATCACAGCATACATTGACACCGGTCAGGTGCTTCGCTGCTTGAATTTATCTATAACATGTCATGTGAACGCAATGCATATAACCTTCCTGAAGTTCACTCACAGGCCAGTTACTATAGCAGAGGGACAGTTTTACGTTGAGCTGGAAATACTGATAGTAATAGCATTATCAGTTTTACGTTGAGCTGGGAATACTGATAGTTATAGCATTATCAGTTTTACGTTGAGCTGGAAATACTGATAGTTATAGCATTATCAGTTTTACGTTGAGCTGGAAATACTGATAGTTATAGCATTATCAGTTTTATATTGAGCTGGAAATACTGATAGTTATAGCATTATCAGTTTTACGTTGAGCTGGGAATACTGATAGTTATAGCATTATCAGTTTTACGTTGAGCTGGGAATACTGATAGTTATAGCATTATCAGTTTTATATTGAGCTGGAAATACTGATAGTTATAGCATTATCAGTTGTACGTTGAGCTGGGAATACTGATAGTTATAGCATTATCCGACAGAATACTCATGTTGAGGGCATGTTCAACCTGAGAAACATCTCGGGCATCATCTCACTCTGAACCGGTTAAATACGAGAAAATAATAATATTATTATGTTAGCCATTGTAACGATTTCCATCAGCCACCGCACCATAACTACGCTGCTTACTCTTTATCATTGTAACAATAGCTAAAAAATAATATTCTCTCTTATCAGCCAACAATCTTGGATGCCGAAAACTCGGCCTCTAGCCGAGTCTCACGTGAACCGTGAATTTTTTTTATCCCGCCAAACAACTATGTTGTCTCTCCCCCCTCTCTGGGTACTCCACTTA